CCAAGCAAAAAAGGGCAAGAAGTCATATCAATTAATAAAGCAGTAACTTTCTGTGGGGGACGCCCACAGCTCCAGAGAAGGGAAGTGATGCCATGCTCTGCTAAGGCAGTTGTTGAACTGTCTCTGCCTGTGTGTGCAGAAGAGGAGCTAAGAGAGACCATAGAGAGAGACGTCTGTGCAGCTTCTGACAAGTTCACAGCCGGATGAGCCAATCTGCAATCGGCAGGAGCTGCTTTAATCTGCATTGGGGCTGTCTCAAAAATTGAAAACCATGCCCGAAAATCAGCAGCCTGATTACTGGTCCTCCCAACGCCTCTCTTGCCCTGTGACCATGCTCCACCCAGGGACCAACATGGTCTCCAGGAATGTGAACCTCCTCGGGCTGGTCCTACTGACCACTGGTCACTTTCTCTGTCATCTCGCTGAAGGCTCGAGTCTGAGATCTTAAAACCTGGACCTCATTATGCGCCTGTCCTTTGTGTGTGTGTGTGTGTGTGTGTTCAGCAGTACCACAGTGTGGGCTCCAGTGCCCAGAGCGAGCAGCAACAGCCAGACAGATGGTACATTTGGAGCTCAGAGGAGGTGGCAACTGGTGTCCTCATCAGACTGCTTCTTGGTTTGATTTAGGACATTGTTCCTGACTGGTTGAAAAAAAAATCCTGTGGAATGATTAGAGTCTCAAGAACACATTGCTCAATACTTCTCAATGCTAAGAAACGATGCAAAAGTTCCTCTGGGCACTGCTTCCTTTCCAGTTTAGACACCGAGAGTACACGGTGTTTTTCCCCAATGTGAGGGAACGCTGCAGTAACTTCTGATCGGAATGATCAAGGTTAGTCTTTAATTTGTCTTATTTAAGTCATAAAATCATGAAGGAGAAAGGCACACTACATAAAAGGGCAGTAAGTAAATTTGAACAAGCAAATAACAAACAAATGAACAGAAATACATGAAAAATCTCGAATCCCAGTAATAAATGAAGTGCAGATTTAAGACAGTTTTAGTCATTGGGTTTAAAAATCATTCCAGTAAACATCCACTGAGACTCTGTTTTTCCTTTATTTTTCTTTTATGGTATGACTTGAAAGGCATGTGGCCCCATGCACAGCACTCTCCCATGAGAAAGTTACACAAACACAAACATTCTCCTACAAGTGTCTATCACATTGATCATAAAAGGAGAGAAAAGAAAAAGTCAGTAAAATATTCACTTATAAGAAGAATTGAGTAGGTGATAGACACGCTGTTTTAGGGTTTCTGCTGCTGGGAAAAGACATGACCACGACAACTCTAGAAAGGACAATTGGAGCTGGCTTGCAGGTTCAGAGATTTAGTCCATCGCTGTCATGGCAGGAGACATGATGCTGAAGGAGTTGAGAGTTCTACATCCTGACCCGAGGCAGCAGGGAGAGACTGTATACTGGACGTAGCTTGAGCATACGTGAGACCTCGGAGTCCATCCCCACAGTGATGGACTTCCTGTAGTGGCATTTCATTGTGTTTTAATAAACAAAGTTGTCCTGGGGATCGGGAAAGAAACAAAGCCACACTGACCAGCCTTACAGACCAGGCAGCAATGACAAGCACCTTTAATCCCAGTAGCCACAACCACACACACTTTTAATTACAGTAGCCACACTAGTTGCCATAGAAACCAGGAGGTAGAGATGCATGCCCTTAGTCCCAGAACTAGAGAGGATTATAAAACGGGAGGAGGCGGCTCTCAGTCTCAGTCTCATTCTGAGATTCCTGCAGAGTACTGAGGTAGAGGTAAGAGCCAATGGATGGCTGTTTTTGCATTTCTGACCTTCAGGTTGAACTCTAATTTCTCTCTCTTAGTTTTTATCATCATGCTTCAACTTTCCCCAATAGGGCCACATCTACTCCAATAAGGCCACACCTCCTAATAGTGCCACTCCCTATGGGCCAAGCATTCAAACGCATGAGTCTATGGGGGCCATACCTATTCAAACCACCACAGCAAGATACACACCAAAAAAAAAAAAAAAAAAAAAAAATCATCACATGATATGGAATAAGGAGTGGGTTTTAGTCTATTTTTTACTTGAGTACTTTCTAATTATAATAGACACTGGTACATTTGCAGCATCAAATAGCACATCTATAAAAGAAACCCAGAGGGGCTGGAGAGATGGCTCAGTGGTTAAGAGATTGCCTGCTTTTCCAAAGGTCCTGAGTTCAATTCCCGGCAACCACATGGTAGCTTACAACCATCTGTAATGATGTCTGGTGCTCTCTTCTGGCCTGCAGACATACAGACAGAATATTGTATAATAATAAATAAATAAATAAATTTAAAAAAAAATAA